GTTTTGATATTTGATATTTTTTTTTGAAAAATCGGCATCAACGTTTATATAACTTTTGCGCGTTGTTCAACTGAGTATCGCTCCATAACTAAGTTTGTCAACGCCTGTAGTAACATTGTCTGAAAAGAATCGGTAACATATTACAAATAATTGCCGTCAAAGATCTGCAGCACCCTTTCTCTGTTTCCTAGTCATCTTTTAGCTCGATACATTGAGTGTTGCGTTTTTCTAATTTGCTTATCCTCTCCGAAAGAAAGGTTGGTATATGGTCCTTAAAATAGAGTGTTTGTTTCCTTGATGACTTCATTTGTCGCAAGTTTTTTTTTTACCGCTGAGCCACTTTTTGAGGTTTATAAGCAGGAAATAGCTTCATTTGATTGAATGTGGCGAATATGTAGGAAATACGGTGTTTTTTTTGCATCGAATCAATGTCGAGCCTTCCTAATAGCTCTTAGTAATATTCGTTGCTTTGCCCCCTTTTTTTAAGTAAATAATTAATCTATGTAAATCACTTCGCGCGCATCCTAAAAAAACTGTCGCTTTGACTTTGTTGGCAGAGAGACCCTCCTTGATCTTGTGTGGTGCAGGTTCACGCGAAGAAGACCACTGCTTTCACTGCTCCTCCACATCTGGTTTATTTTTTCTTCTACGGGGCGAAAATTAGTACGATTTGGCAAACACTTCTTTACTTGAGAGCAATCACGCCATCCATAGCGCAGATAGTTTTTTCATGCTCAAATACTCCTGAGAAATGTAATGTATCCATTGCCCAGCATTTATTTTAGCCTAATGCTTGCCCATAACTGGTGTAGAAATCTCGTTTTAGAACAGAAAACTTCTTCTTTGCGGTGCTGTAGCTGCTATGTGCTAAGTGCTGCCAAATGGATGTGCCAATACCTCCTGCAGGAGAGTCCTTCCTTTTCCACTCGCGTGTATTATAGAGCGGAAACTCCACCAGTAGCTCGACGAAGGCTTTCAATCGTAAGTAAGGAGTAAAAGATGTAAAATCTTTCTGTAGCTGGTTAGGCATGACAATCGGATTAGAAAATTTGTATTAGTATGCTTTAATTAGTATATAATACGTCAAGTCTGCTTCATATTTTCAATTTTTTCTCCCTCTTCTTTGTTGATAAAATTATTTCTCAGATGTAATAAATATGTGCGAGTCTATTGCAAATGAGCGACTGATCGGACCAACGGTTTTTTAAGGCATTTCGAGCCTTACTAGTCGCTTGATTGGCCATGAGTATCGCAATGTTCTGGCAACGCTTTTGACTGAAGTCCGCTCAAGACAAAACAGAAACAAAAAAACGGGTTTACACTCATACTATGTAAAATACTCAATTTTGCGTCATAGGTTCTTTGAATTAAATAACAATTGTTACAAAGCTTATTAGTGTAAAGTCAAACAGCGTATAATATATAACCCCAAATCGTTTTATGATTTCGTAAACTCCAAGCGAAATGCAGTGGATTTTCGTCCGCCATGAGGTATCAAAATATGCCATCTCTAGTGATAATAAAATAATTTCCAACATGTTCGCTCAGTTTTTTAAATCTAATTATTTCATTAACTTTCATGCTAACATTGACTATCCTTTTAAACTGTGTCCAATTAACTCAATATATATCCCAGTAATATCTCCTGATGATATAGTAGTTTACCTGAAATCCTTAAAGCAGTCCTTTCGTTATGGTGCTGACCAGATCCCCACTTCTTTTCTTACAAATTGTGCTGATTATCTCTATATTCCTTTAACAGCCTTATTTAATTTGTCTCTCAGAGAGGGCGTTTCTCCAACTGTATGGAAGGAATCGTTCATAACCTCGTTACATACAAGCGGTAGCAGATCTTCAGTGGAGAACTAACGGGGCATATTTAGCTAAGCATTCTGCAGTCCCTAAATTTTTTGAATCAATTATTACAAATACGTTGGCGCATTCTATCTCCTCTACCATTTCATACTGCATTTGCAATATCAATATAACCTTCCGCCTTATACGAGCCGATTATCAAAACTTATTTATTTTTCCACACTTGCAGCCGCAGAGAAATGCTTCGTACAATTTTCATGGTTAAATTACTGACAGACTCAATTTCAAGCCCGCTTCTTCTGGGTGAAGTTAGCCTTAATGTTCCCTCTCGGGTATCAAGACACTTTTCTCCCCTATTTTTGAAAACTTGTAAAACTAATTTTGAATTACACGAGCAACTCCGTTGCTTATGTTCCGTTGATTTTAACTCTCATTCCAGCACATTTGATATATTTGATTCGGGTTTCAGCATTAAGAAAGCGGTACTATACTTTCTCAATGATTGACTAACATAAATACATAAATTAGCTGATGAATTCGGTTCTGTAGTTGAATAGTTTGGGATGTCGACGTTTGAGGAGTTTGTTACTTCTGACATTCGTGACTCTTCGCCAAAAACAGAAGCTTAATCTATTTGTCATAACAAAAATTTGATGAATGGGTATCTGCACTAACCTGCGTTAAAAAACCAGGACAATTTAAGTGTCATCAGGGCGACTGGAAAATTTGTCAAAAACCAGGATAAATTTAAACAACCAGGATGTCTACTTTAGTGAGATAGCTATCTTACAGGTTTATCAGCAGCCGCATTCCAACATTTGCTATCGCTAGTTTTGATCGCCAAAAATTTGGCTGATTACGTACTGCATCTGTTACAGTTCCATGGTGTATTTTTTTAGGCCCAAATGCTTTTCATTTAGAGAATTTTGGCCACGAAAATATATCGTAGCGATTGTCAGAATTGCACTGCAAATATCACGTAAGTCATTCATTCATGGATTGAAAGAATAAATTTCTCGAACAATTGGTTATGCAGGATACTCTTAGGCTGACAAAAGTTATTTTCTTGACGCCTTAGAATTATATTTCTTTGCAGTTTAGCGCCTTAAACTATGCAATTATTAAACTCACACAGTTGTAATTTCACACCGCTGCACTATAGGTAATTTGATCAGAACTCAGGAGAGAGCAGGCTGTGAATAATTTTGTTGCTGCAGAGGCTGCTCGTTTTAATTTTCCAGCAAACAAATTAGGAAATTCAGACCTCTCAGGCTGTCAATTGAAATTTATATAATTTGGCAAAATTTTCTAAAAAGAATCACTTTAGAACGCGTTTTTATAACTAAGTGAAATTTTTTATTTAAATATCGGCTCTATTCTGTCACAATGTTTTTACGGAAAAATATATAAAAAACCATATGCCATAAACATAAAAAAAAGGAGTTTTTTTTGCAAAATAAAGCATTTTTAAGGGACATTTGTTAATACAAATATTTAAGAAAAAACTACATTTCAACTTTTTTAATAAACCACGAATTAAAAAGTGACTACTTTAGACAACTCGGCCGTCAAGGGTTAAGATTTTTTTTTTGCAAAAATGTAAGAAATCATACTTGTTTAGCCATAATCAATATTTGCCAAACAATTTTTCAAATTTCCCATAGTGCACTGGCTTGGAAATTCAAGATTATTCAAGAAATGTTGCTGATTTTATTAATATTCTTAACTTTATTTAATAAAAGACGCTGCTGAAAACTATTCTCAACAATTTTTGTGTCAATCAATGAATATTAAAAAATAAAATGAGCTTTCATTACACTAAGAAAACCACCAGCCTCGCGAAAATCTCCGGAAAATTAATTAAAATCTCTGAAATATATTTACGAAAAAAATTTTAATTATATTCTTATGTTTTTTTAATGAAGCCTGAATTCACAGATCCTTTGAGTGCTTGCTGAAGAGCATTGGATACAAACATTCTAACTAAAGGTGATAAGAAAATTATGCAAAACAAGTAAAAAAGCAAAATAAACTCCAGCAGAGCTCCACTCAAACTCCAAACTAAACGACAGAGATTCAGGCATAATTTTCCGTCGTTGCGAAAGCCAAAACTAAAACGAAAAACTTGCCATTCTGTGCTGCAATCATAAACAGGAAGTTCCAGGGAGCAAGTCATTTTGCAGCTGATAAGTGCGCAACAAAAACAAAGTGTAAAAGTAACAAAACAGCAAAGTAGTAGAAAAGGTATAATTCAGAAAAAAAAACACGAAAAAAGGAAGCAAGTTAAGCCAAAAGTGAATACGACACTTCACAACAACTAGCGGTAACGTGCACACAGTAGAGAACGACCAGAACCAGAGACTAGGCGCAAGCCAGTCTTCTACGTACTCGACTCGAGTCTCAAGCATTGCACAACCAGCAGCATATCTAGGCGCTTGGCAAACATTCATACAGCGTCAGCAGACAGACCGACAGGCCGGTCGCCGAATAAACAGACAGCCAACAGCCAAGCAGTGAGTGTGCAGGAGAGCAGAAACATTTGCCTGCAACCTACAGTGCGAACGCCTAACCAGTCGAAGATAAACACAAAGAAAGGACGAAGCAAAGCAGACCATAAAGCGAGATTGGGTAGAAGAAGGAGCAGCCGGAGCTAATAGAGTACGGTGGTGGAGAAGAAAACTTTTGCTGGCGACAGGTGAACGAAGGTCCTCACTGAAAACACATACAAACGCAACCAAACATATAAAACGCTTGTGCGCTGCTATCCTACCCCCTCGCAATCCCCAGGGACAGACACGTAACGCAAACAAAACAGAGCAAAATAAAATATAAAACATAAAGCTAAAAATAGCCGACCAGCCAGGCAGCACGGCAGGAAGGTAGGCAGGTAGGCAGGCAGGCGGCAGTTGTCGAACGATCCAAAAGCACTGCAATCCAGTCAGTCAGTCAGCCAACCAGCCACCCAGTTACTGAGCACACGGTAGGCGCGGCAAGTGAGTTAGAGACGCGGTGCGGTGGCTTGGTAGTTTTAGTGGCAGCAAAACAAAGCCGAAACTAAATTGGCGAAAAGCAAATATAAGCCAAGAGACTTTAATGCGCAGTCTTACCAAAAATAAACGAGAAAACAAGAAAATAAAATAAGAAACCTAAGAAAAAATATATAAGAAATAAAGAGTGTGTGTATGTGAAAAAAAAAAAAAATTAGTGGAGTGTGCCTAGCGAGAAAAGAGAAAAATAAAACAACAACCGTGCAGACAGTTAAGGTACTACAAAGTGCATATCCACCCCTAGAATCTGAGCAGATAAGCATAAAAATAAAGCAGACAAAAAAGTGCGAAAAAAAACAAAAAACACAGCGAAGTCCGCAAACGACGAGTGCGTCCGAAAAAAGCAAGCACATACTGTGTCAAAACTAATAAAAAGTAAGTTATCCCCTCGGAGAAATAGTGCGAAACGTGCAGGTAGAAAAATTGTGTTTGCTAAACGACAGGTGAGCCCCAAACGAACTGTGGTCAAAAGTCGTCAATAAGCTGCTAAGCGACGTGACTCTTCTCACCAAAAACAAAAAACCAAATAAAAACAGAGAAAACCTAATAAAAAGGCATCACCGAGTAGGTTTGTACAGTGCGACGCAAACAAACAATCAACAGTTGCGTGTGGAACAAATGAGCTATACGCACATGTTGTGCTGAAAGTAAATAAGTAAGTAAGCGGCTTAAAATTGAAGCCCGGACGACGTGCGTGGAAGTGCGTGCCACATGCGAGAGAGCAAAGCCAACGAAAACTGAGTGACTGTTGTCGACAGGAAAACGCAATTAAGCAGATAGCTTAAACTGGACGGTGACTAAAGTAGAGAGTGTGAAGAGTGAGAGCAAAATTTAAAGACAGTTTGGTAAACTTAGAATTCATTAAAAATTGTAGCGCGCACTGGGAAATATATGCCGCAAACTGACCACAAGGGCTTTTATAAGGCTGAATAGTTCCTCAAAGTAATGTCAAAATATAATAAAAAAAAAAATAACTAAGAAGCTTCTGCAGAATATCTCACAAGGCACACAACTACAATCTACGCAAGTGGTCAAGCCTCAAACAATTTAGATTGCGGTCGGTGCTATTAGAAACTTGTACACACAGTTCCTCCAAAGATTCAACACACAACCGTAAGTCTACACGAACGGACGACGCAAATCATAGTAGCTTACTCGACTCACTCCAGACAATTGCAAGAATCGCAGACACGCAAACGTAACAGCTAAAGTAGAGTTGCGGGAACAGCGCATCGATTATCGATTTTGTCTCCACTGACATATAACAAGATTGGCGCGCTCAAAAAGAAGAAGACAACAAGAGCAACAAGAAAAGACTATAGCAAGCGTATATATACATAGATAAAGTAGAAAACAAAAAAATTTAGTAATAGAAAAAGGAAACACAACCAGACGACAGCGTAACAGACAAACGGAAGACTGAAGTCTAAAGCTGTGCGAGCCAAGTGAGCAGGCGTGTGCTGTGTAGTGAGCCATTATCGGCCACAAACGAACGAACGAACGTTACGACGCAGTTGCCGGTGTTGGTAATGAAACCCGCGGCAAACTAAGGGCGGCATACCGACCAACGGCCAACCAACGACCGACCGGGGTTAGCGAGAAGCCAGTGTAGTAGAGCGCCTCGAAACGGGCTCAACCAAACAACAAATAAACAAAGGAAAAATAAACAAACAAGCAACTAAAATATTATTGTAATCGCTTGGATTACAGTAACAACGACTGAACGCTCGACTGGCGCGCCACACAGCGCTTACGACGGCAATCGAAGTCTGTGAAATTGCCATTTCAACGGCGTATTTAACTATCGTACATTGCCAGCCAAGCACACCGATGAAAGGAGAAAACAACATATAAAATACAGTGGCGAAAAAAAGTGTGTGTTCGGTGCAGGAAAGTAATGAAAAAATAACAAAACCAAAGCAAAAAAAAGCGACTAAACATAAGAAACCAACTAGCACGAACAGCAAACGGAAACAGCTGAACATAAAACCCACGAAAAGCCATTGAAAGCACACAAAGAAATCAACAGCCAACGAGACGTACAGCGAATCTAAAGGACAACAAAAAAAAACAGCGGAAACGTACTTTTTGGCGAGGCATCAAAACGTTCCGGCGAAAAATTGCGATTACGTGAAAAACTTCAGCCAACAAACAAGCGCTCCCGCAGGCGAAAGCGCTAGCCGCCATAAGGCAGCAATCAACAACTTGTGAAGACAACGGAAAAAGTTGGGAATAGCCGTTGACGTTGCCAAGAAATTCACGCGGCGATAAAACGAAAAGTTGCTTGGTGAAAATTGAGCAACGCATCTTCCAGCATTCCAGTTCCGTTAAGGGGCAGTACGGCCTCAATAATAGCTTGGGCATAGTACGCAGCTTGTAACGTTAACCTCGTAACGCAAACAACTTACTAAGAGACTGTGAGAGAATGAAGACTTTTGTGTTCAAGCGAATTGTTGCTTAGACTTAAACAGCATATCCGAGACCCAGCATCCAAAAGCCAAAAACAGAGCCTACGCTTTAATTGCGTTCCCACAAAAGTCACTTGAACTCCTGACCGACCCTTTCGGCGTCCGACAAGCAATTCTCGCCTCTCAACAATTCGTTTCACACCCAGCCAAGTAGTAACGAAAAATCCCCAAACATAGCACGTCTAATAGATCGTTTACGCCGCCTCAACAAAAAGAAAATGCTCTGCTCCATTCTACGTACCTTCGCCTGCGTGCTGATCATACAGGGTGGCATTTACGCATTGCGTTTGAATGGCCCTGGTGGCGGCGGCAGCAGTCCTGGTGCGGGCGGTGTCAGTAGCATAGGCATTGGTAGTGGCGTTAATACGCCAACGAATATTGGCGTCGGCGTCGGCGGCACGCAACACAATACCGCCGCGAATAGCAATCAAATGCTCAATATACTCTCCGCAACGCAGCACGCGCAACATTTGCATGCCGGCGGCAGTGGTAGCAGTAGTAGTGGTGGTGGCGTTGGCAGCGGCAGTCTTGCGCATACCTTCAGCAAATCCATGGTGGGTCAGTTAGATAGCGCTGGCCGTTTGTCCCAGGAGCTGGCCGATATGGCGCAGCTGGAGCGCGAACGGCTTATGTTGCTCGGTCTGGCGAAACAGACCGCTGCGGCCAACGCGGGCACTGGCCATCACGGACGTCCCATCATCACCGGTCGCATACAAATGAGCCCTGTCGAGGAGGTGGAGAGCGATTATCCGTCATTGCTGTTGCAACAGGCCCGCGGTCCTATGTATGGTAGTGTCGTGAAACAGCCGTCAGTTATTGAGGATGAGTATATAGACGAGGAGGGCGAATACGGCGTGCACACGCGCCCTGAGAAATATGAGTATGGGCACATCGTGCAACCTTCCGACCGCGAGGAATACGGCCAGCCGCAGCGTGGTGACGACTTGGATGTGCTGATCGAGGCTGAACCAGAGCTGGATGAAATGCTCACCGATTTGGACAGCTACCAGTACTTGGATGAGTTGTTGCCGCCCGAACATCGCAGCATGTGGAGTGATGACTCGCCAGCTCATGCCGTTGCCGGCGGCAATACTAGGCCACATCACTTGAACGATGGTTTGCCGCTACTGTTGAATCCATACCGCACGCTCGAGGAACTCGAGGAAAGCGCACCGCACACCTTGCAGGAAATATTCGAAAAGGAACAGCATGGTGGTGGCGGTGGCTTGAAAGAGCAGCGCGCGCAGCAAGTGCAGCAGCAGGCACATGAACAACAACAGCAGCATCAAAAACATTATCCGCCACAGCAGCAACAACACGCATTTGGCGGCGGGATTAAGCATCGCAGTGGCGCCTATGCTGGTGGTAGCGCCGGCGGTGCTGAAAACTTCAATACACATCTGCAGCAGAAGTGGCAACGTAAACGCTCACAGCAACAACAACAACAGCGCCAGTTGCAACAGTGGCAGCGCAATATTTTCGGCCAACAGCGGCAGCAGTTGCATCATTTTGGCTCGAACACTGAAAGACACAATAAATTCGCGTTTGCCAATTCGGAAGCCACCGCCAGCAAGCATATTCAGCCGAACAACAGCAACGATAACAAATTGCCAAGCGCTCTCATCGCAATGGCACCGCAGCAAAAAAGTTCCTCTTCAACACTGTTGTCCGCCGACAGTGGCGCGACAATCAAAAGTGAGCAGCAGCAACAAAAAGAACTAAAGCAAACGCCAATGCAGCAGCAGGTTGGCAAGGAAAACATTGATGATAGCGCTAGCTCAACGACCGCTTTCGCTAAAGCTGCTGCGAAATTGAAAGCACAACAACAGACACAACAGCAACAGCAACAGCTACATAAGCAACAGCAAACGCCATTACAAAAGCAGGAGTCTTTCTTGCATCCCAATCATAAACGTTCCGGCGGCCTGGGCGTCGGCGGCGGTGGTGCGGGCAATAGTATGTCCGCAGCTGCTGCTGCGGCGGCGAATAACGGTTACTCGTCCATAGCGAGTCAGCTGATGTTGCGCACAGCGCGAGGGCAGCGGCAGTACGATGTGCCACAAATAGGTGAGTGAACAATAAAAACTATCTTTTACTTAAGGCTACTTTGTTTTTTTTTTGATATTTTCTAACTACCTAGTACTAAAATTTTATGGCTGTCTTCAAAATGCTGCGAATAATTGTCATGTCACGGCCAAGTTAATTTAGGTGCGCTGAAAGCAATGGTGGCGAGTTTTCGTCCTTTGCCAGTGCAAGTCCACACCTGGCCTCCAGACGAACTAAATTTATAATAAATAGTTCGACTTATATGTTAACTGAGTACTTTCAATTAGAAAATAGTTGTTGTAAATATATTTCGGGAATACTTGTTATTTCTTGGACGATAATCTTGCTTCAAAACGACAATGAATTTTTAAAATTGTGGGTGAGCTCTTCACTATTGCTTTGGAACTCGCTACCCTAAATTATCTCGCTAGGGAACTAAACGATTAACTAGTGCCTTAAAGTATGCATCATGTAAACCTAAGCATGTAATATTAACTCTATGCTGAAAGAGTTGACAATTTTCCGGACCTCCCCTCTTATTTACTTTTGTGGCGAATAAAATTTACCATATCGCATGCAATAAAATTGAAGTGGTATGTATAATTCCTTGACAATTCTATTACATTTAATTGACAATAAGTCTTTCATTCAGGATTCAAACTGGACTAGACTACTTAGAACTAAAAGTTCTACTGTAAAAATAGAAACTTTGGATCGATTTCATCAATTTGTAAAAAAATTGGGATTGGGTACATGCATATCACTTTTCATATCAATTCAAGGCATGCAGTTACAAACTGTAACATACATTTAGGCTTCTCGCTAGAAAGCAATACATGCCGCATACATATGAAGATGAATAGTAAAAGGCCAAAATCATTGGTAAATACTGCATTTTTTCCACATTTTTCGAAAGTTGGGTTTCCAGTTATTCGAAAAAAGGCTATTTGAAAAAGCCCGGTACTTAATTTTTAAATTCAGGAAAACCAGTTAGACTTTTGTTATACATATTTCACATTTGAAGCACGTTTAAAGTTAGTCAGAAATCAAAGCCAAAAATGGAAAAAACTATTAAAATTTGTATCTAAAAGACAATTGTCTTAAATATAATAGGTTAAAAGTTACTCGCATTTGGATTAGTAGTAAAGCAAAAATTAGATCTATTAAATACCCTAAAGTTATAAATAATTTTAAGCTGCATTCTGCTTAGCTTTTTAACAGATGTTTTTTGACGTAGAAGTCGTCTTTCGTTACGGTATGGATGTCATGCTCAAATGTTGTACTTGTAATTATTAGAGCTTCACAAAAACGCTTACTGCACGAGATTTAATGAAGCGGTTTCAAAGGTAAAATTCCAAGCCTATCGGCATATTTATTGTTTAGAGTTATCAGTACGGTTTCTATCGTAGATACAACGATAAATATTGGCTTATTTTGGGGTCACTTTCGAGCCTTTAAAGTACTCTAGAAACTTAGATTTTGCAGATATATGTAACTTTCATTTTCAGAATATAAGTTTTTTATAGTAAAACAAATATTATCATGTACAAATTTTGTACAAATTCCACAAAAACTTAGCGTTTTAAGTCAAAATCTTTAAAAAAGTAACAAATTTTTTTATTATCAAAATTATCGAAAACCGCTTGAATGATTTTGTTTTTGTTTTCTTTAATCAAAAATTCAAGGTTTTTCCCATAATACAAATATTTAAAAGTAGTTTCACTTCTTCTTCTTATTCGGCATTGCTCGCATTTGACATAAACTGCGCTTTTGAGATTTTTGTTTTTTTATTGAAGCTACCATATTCTTTGAAGAAACTAAAAAAGTGATTTTTTAATTCAAACAAATATTTCAAGAAATTATTTAAAAAATTATAAGAAAATATATTTGAAGCATCATTTAAAGCGAGCTTTCAGTGATTTATTGCATGAAATTGCTACATCATCTATTGTGTAAAGTTCCCGAAGGAGCTCTCTCTTTGGAAAGTCTGTTGGCCACCTCGATGTCCATAATGCAAGTGTGTCCCGGGATCCAATAAAGGCAAGCGTAATTTGCGATGTTGTCGTGGTTTTTGTTACATAATAAATATTGCCCAAAGAGTTTTTTCACTCCAGCCAGTCCTTGGCCAGACATAATTTAATCTGGGTCGTTCTCTGAACAGCATTGCTGTCTCTTTTATTTATGCATAGCTGTTGCATATGTATTTATAGCTTTAGAGGAACTTCATATAATGGCCTTTGCCCTCCAGGCAGTCATCACATGTTCATAGTTTAAAAAAGTTTTGCTAAGGCTTTCTTGAGGGGGCCAAATTCGAGGTTTTTCCAAGGGGCTTTGCTCTTCTCTTGGCCTCCCGTAGGCGAAAAGTCTGGTTGTAGGCATCTGTCAGTGTTTTGCCGAGGCAATCGATTCATTCATCCATTCCAAATCGGCGTACTCAGCCTATCCTCAAACAGCTTATTGAAAAGGTCCTTGTTTGTGAGTCAACGGCCGACGGACAGACGGACGGACAGACAGACATGGCTTAATCGATTTCTTTCTTCATCCTGATCATTTATGTATACATTTGTCTATATCTATCTCGATTCGTTTTGGCTGTTACAAACAACCGTTATGTGAACAAAATTAATATACCCTTGTGCACAAGTGCGCTCGGGTATAAAAATAACAACAAACACCATTTATGAAACGAAACAAATATTTATTCCATTGACCGTCATTTGCACACCAGAGCATAGAGCCATTCCTTTTTTTCTATCTGGCAGAAAATTCAAACTTTATTGCGCTAAGAACTAAAAACCAACCTTTTTACGATATTGCAGATTATTGCTTTTTCTTTTGTCACGCAGCCACTGGTTGCTTGTGGAATTGAGAGTTACATTTCGTGGTAGCCCACTAAAAGGATATTTTTTGTTTTTTGTTGTTTGCTTACTGACAGTCATTTTTGATTAGAGGGCAACAGCAATTTCGTTGAGTTCAGCTGAGGGTTGCGAGCACTTCGATATATTGAACACAAATAAGCATGACATACATACTAATTTAATCAATACATATATGTGCATACGGATGTACTTACATACCCTCTTGGAAAATGAGAAATGCTTCCACTTGGCAGTAACTTCTTCTAACTTTTAACTGAAAGCATGGGTAAAGCTTTCGCTTGTCGCTTCACGTAGAAACTCCGAAAGAAATAACAGTAATTTCGATATTCATTTCAAACGAAAGATTTGTTGAAGGATTTGACATTCACTTTATGAGTAGCTTTGTGGAACGTTTCCCTGGATTTTCTGCAATCAGCGAGAGTGAATAATTCCTCCCAATGACATTGCATGTGCGATTGTTCGCATTTCCTAAAGGGTACGCATGCTCGAATTCAATATGAAGTTATTACATTCAATATCACTCGAATCCAATTTTTGGGTTGATTGCCTTTGACTTTTCCAATAAAAAAAAAAAACTGAAAATGCTTTCGCCGTATTTTTATAAAACTACATCTTACATATATACACACGTTTGTCACTCGATAACCATAGCGTATATTAACTCGAAAGCAACACTGTTTCATACGCGTGACAAGTGCTCGTACAAAAACACTTGTTTCTACAGCAAAACAATAGAATGCCTGTCATACAAGCATTTTTGTGGCTCATTCGAACTTATCTAATTCGACGAATAAGTGATTGAGCAGAGTAGAAGTTTACTACGATCGTAGTAGATTTAAAAAAATAAAAATTTACCAGGAACGTGAAATGGTTTTGACCGGATTAACCTGTTTTTAGTTAATTAACTGAGCCACTTTGATCCGAAGCGAAAATCTAACTACTTCTTATAAAGTTTTATTTCATTTCGTCCATTTTCGTTAGAAAATTTTGTACACTTTTTAGTTTTTTCTTTTGTTAGACATGACAATACCATGTTTTTTACTACGTATAGTGTTTGACATAAATTATATATATTTTTATATATATTTTTTGGATTGTTACTGAGTACAAATAAGAGAAACGTGGATAGTTTTTTTTTTAATTTCCGAACCATTGAAACAAAATTCCGGTACAAAGAAAAAAAAACCGTTTTAACGAACCAATTCAAAGGTGATAAAATGGTTCGAACAGCGGAATCGAACCGACTTAATTTTTCATAAGGTTCACGTCCCTAAAATTTACTACGGTACTCCGATTTTTGTACGATCAATTTCGAAATTCTTTTGAAAATATTGCGCGCTTATTGCAGTATAGAAAACCAAAAATATTCAGGAATTTGTGTTTTTTTATGTCTTAAAACTTACAGATACAAGCCTTTTATCAAATCAACAGACGATGAATACTTATAGTGTATATATCTGAATACACCACGCGTCATTATTATAAGCGCACAACATATAGACTAGTTTAAAAAAAAATAATTTTTTTCTTATTTAGTTTTAGCTAGTTTTTTATAAAAAAACTATGGTTTATTTCTAATAAAAACTTTATAAATCAAAGTCTCGAACTTTGCGCAATATTTAAGAAAACTTAACAAATTTTCGTGAAACATTTTGAGTTTTTATGAAAGTTTCTTGATTTTTTTAGTATTGCATAAAATTTCAAACTTGGATTCAAATGGTATTTGTTAAATAATAAAATAAATTTTTATAAAAATTAACTAAAAAAAAAATAAAAAAAAAAATTCGTATGCTTATAATTACGACACGCGATGTATATGTAACGGGTGATTTTTTTGAGGTTAGGATTTTCATGCATTAGTATTTGACAGATCACGTGGGATTTCAGACATGGTGTCAAAGAGAAAGATGCTCAGTATGCTTTGACATTTCATCATGAATAGACTTACTAACGAGCAACGCTTGCAAATCATTGAATTTTATTACCAAAATCAGTGTTCGGTTCGAAATGTGTTTCGCAAACCCAATTGCTGCGAACGGCGACGAATCGACATTTCACGGTCTTCAGCAACACTCTCAGAAACAGACGCAATATTCTCTTCTGTACGCACTGTACGCATTCGTGTGGTTGGTTTAATGTCCA